ACAAAAAGGGCACGAAGGAATACCTGTGGAACTCAGGTAATACATTGGACATTTTGTGGCGCTTCTATCAAAAGTTCATGTGTTTCAGTAACAAAGATTTAGGTTAAACCATCTGATAAGCCACCAAGACCTACTGAGGTGAGAACTGAGAGTGAGGGGAATTTGAAATGGATAGTGAAGGAGGGAGAAATGAGTGCCAGTTGTGGCCCCAACAGCAACTGGATCAACAGAAGCCAGAGTCCATCCCATTAACACAGACAGATCAATTAGACCCCTGCAAAAAGGTGAAGATATAGCTTCTATGACTAAAGAACATAGTCAGTAAGGAAGAGAAAATCCACTATATATTAAATTTCATATCTGATCATGAAAATATACCTTTTGGTCAAGTACATATGGAACATTCACAAAAAGTGACCATACATTAAGTCACAAAGAAAAGACTGGTAAGTTCCAAAATTGGAACAATAGTCTTGGATAGCAATGCAATATAATCAGGAATTATTAAAATAAAAACCAACAGGCTTTCCCACTTGGAAATTTTCAATTTTAAATAACTCTTGTATGAAAAGAAAAAATACAAACCATCTTAAACGGAAATTACAAAATACCTTAAAAGTTATGGCAATAAAAATACTCCATACCAGAATCTATGGGATGCATTTGTTTTTGTTTTTTTATTTTATGTATTTATTTTTTATTGAATTTATTGGGGTGACACTGGTTCACAAAACCATACAGATTTCAAGTGTACAACTCAATACATCATCTGCACACTGCATTGTGTGCCCACCACCTCAAGCAAAGTCTCTTTCTGTCTCCATTCTCCACCCTTTGCCCACCTCCATACATTCCCCACCCCCTTTTCCTCTGGCTAACACCACACTGTTGTCTGTGTCTATGTGTTATATATATGATGTTTTTTTTTCTCAATCTCTTCACCTTCTTTCATCTAGCCCCCCAACCTCCCTCCCCTCTGACAGCTGTCGGTCTGTTTATGGGATACATTTTTAAAGTGATCAGAGGGAAAGCCGTAGCTCTTAATTTCAAGAATGAAAATAAATGAAATGGAATTCCAGCTCCAAATCAAAAGAACAACATAAACCAAAAGAAGCTCAAGGAAATAATAAAGATAAAAGAAGACGCTGTGTAGATCAAGTTTTTAGAATTCTTTTGAGAAAAACAGCAAAATAGACGAACTGAATCAAGCCCAATTAAGAAAAAGGGGAAAAGCACACATATTAAAAAAACAATTTTTAAATGATACATAAGAAATAGCCATTAAATTTTTTTTAAAAAGTCATAAGAGACTATTTTGTAGGTTTATCTGAAAGTAAATTTGACAGCCTAGATGAAACAGATCATTATCTAGGGAAATAACATTTAACCCTGCAGAAAGCTTAAATAGGCTAATTTCCACAGAAGCTCTGAAGAAATTTATCAGGGAACTACCCCATAAAAAGGCTTCAAAGCTTCAATTTGAGATGGTTTCCCAGGGGAATTCCACCAAAGCCCCACAGATAAGATAGTCCAAATGTGTCATAAGTTATGCCGGAGCATTAAAACTGAAGGCTTCTTAATTATTTTGTTGAAACAAATGCAACATTTATACCTAAACCTGATAATTAAGTACAAAAAAATAAAAGTATAGATCAATATCACTTATAAATATTGATGTAGAATAAAAATATTAGTAGAATTAGCATTAGATTAAAAAAATAATAGACCATGATAAAGTAAAATTTTTTAATGAAATAGAAAATAGTCATTATATAGAAATAATCAATATATAGAATTTATGAAGACATATTCATTATATAAAAATAATTAATAGAAAATTCTTTATTATAATATACTATATAAATAGATCTAAAAGAAAAAATATAATTACCTCCCTAGATGTTGAAAAAATAATAAATATTTGCCAAAATATATATATTTGACAAACTGTAACAATCATCCCTTATTAAAAACACTAAGAAATTGATGAATATTTTTAAAGTGATAAAATATATGCATATTTTAATTTTAATTCCAGCATTTACTTCATGATGAAACACAGTATTTCCATTAAGATCAGGAGCAAGGCAAGAATGCACACTACTTCCAATTCTTTTACACCGTACTAGAGGTACTACAATGCCATTTGACATGAGAATTAAATGAGAGGTATGAGAACTGGGAAAGAAGAACTAAAATGATCTCTATTTGAAAAATACATGAGAGCATGTCTACAAAATTTTAGAAAATCAGTGGTAAAGCTGACTCAAAGATAAGAAACCATTAAGGTAGCAGGATGTAAAGATAATGTTCAGAAATCAATAATCTTCATATACTATACAGAAACCTATTAGAGAATAGAATGATAGAGGAAATTCCATTTACAACAGCAACAACAAAGATAAAATAGGAACAAGTTTAATAAGGAATGTACAGAAACCTATATGAGGAAAACTTTAAAACATTCCTGAAAAACACAAAAAAATAGACTTAAATGAAAGGTATACATTGTTCTTGGAGAGGATGATTCAATATATCACTGCTCCCTAAATTAATTTATAAATGTAAGTCAAACCTAATAAATATAATAACAATATTTTTTAGTGAAGCTAGATAGACTTATGGTAAAGTTTATATTGAAAAACAAGTACGCAAGTTTAGCAAGTAAAACATTTAGTCTTGTGTCCTCTCCCTCTCTCCCCCTTTACCTTTGCTCCTGTTACACATAAGTCAAAAACACCAGTCTGATCACTTCCTTCCCTTTCTTAAAAATCTTTCATCATTGCCTATAAGATAAAGTCTAAATTCAGCACAACATAGGAGACCTTTTATCTGAGAAAATTCATGTACTGTACAAGTAGAAACTTTCCCAGCTTGCTATAATATTAAACATATTAATTTTAAATTCTTGGACCTGCAATTCTCTTAAAAGCCTAATGGTGGATAAAAAGTGTTGCCTAATATATGATTGTCGACATATTTTATTCTTATGATCAAGAAGAAGTTACAATCTTTGGACTAGGCCCCGTTTCCCAAAACAACCTTGCGTCAGTTCTTGAGAAAGCATAGGTTATGTCTTCAGCCCCATGAAAAAATGCAATACAGGTGAGGAGGACAAATGGTCACAGACTTGCTGAGTCAGGGCTCAGGACCCTGCATGACAAGTGCAGAAGGCAAAGCCAATGCAACAGTGCTCTGAATGGTGACTGCAAATCATAGTCTCAAAGGCAACAGAGAAAAGGAAACATCCCAGGAAGACCGAGTATTAAGTAAAAACATGGCCCATGTATCCTTTAACCTGACTTTCTAAAAAAAAGAAAGTGATTCAAAACCACTCTAAGAGCAAGGAGGTGACACCGTCCTTCCTAGTGCGCATACCATCTATAACTGAAGTTACAACAGAACAACCCATGTTCATCATAACAGCCTTCAAAGGTAATAAAAGGTAAATTAGGTTCTGTATCCTCAGTACGACAAAACAGGTAAATACGATTCATTCCAGGAAGATTTGCATAAGAGATGATTTTTAAAATGCAGGCTCATAAAAGATATGAACTTATATTAGTCTCTTAGTTACTGTTTTAATGACCCACTAGTAACTGTTTTAATTACTCATAACAACTTCCTTCTTCCCAGAATGATGACATTCATATAGTGTTGTGTTTTACCTCCCGGCATCTCCCTATTAATAAAAGTAGGTACACAATGTAGTTTATTTTTAGATTTTTGAACTATCAATATACAACGTGTTTTAAATTTGACAATAAATAAGAAGAGACATTTGTTGAAGAAACCAGCCAACCCTGAAAGACAGCTGTGGAGTAACTAGATCTTACGGTTTACACAGAGAGTGAGAAAGCATTTACACAGAGAGTGAAAAAGCATCCACACAGAGTTCCTAGAAGCAATGCCCATGGCTGCGACACTGGGGGAATTTTATTGCTCTGAGTTATGTATTCTGAAGCCAAAAATTCATTTTCTCAGTTTCCCTGCTGGGTCCATGATTCTGAGTTGGATGTATGTGTATGTGTGTGTTTCTACTAGCATGTGTATATAGGGTGTCCCCCCAAAAATGTATACACCCATTTTGAATAATTATACAGGCAGTGTTTATTAAAATACATTTCATTTTCAAAGTTGAGCTCTCAGCTATTACAGTGTGTATACATTTTGGGGGACACCTTGTATGAATATATATTTTGACATATTTCTGAACTAGAGTGAGCTTCAGCTCCCTGGGGTATGTATCTCTTTGACTCATTAAGTGAGTCAAAAACTCAAATATTTAAAAACTCAAATATTTAAAAACTCAAATGTTTCACCTCAGAAGCTTATGTTCTATGTTGTAGGCTTGCAGGGGGGAAAAAGCCACTGTACATCAAGCATTAAGCCAAAGTCAAAATTTCAAAGAATACACAGAAAATTTGATGTATGTACCAGAGACTTAATTGTACTTATTCTAAGGAATGGGATCCAAATTATATCTGCATATAGCAAAACTGGAAGCATTTTGCATTAAAAATTCAGTGCAGTTTACTAGAATGTCCTAAAATTTGATTACAAGGCCCAAGTATGTGTAATTTTTAAAAAATATATTTTATTGATTTTTTACAGAGAGGAAGGGAGAGGGATAGAGAGTTAAAAACATCAATGAGAGAGAAACATCAATTAGCTGCCTCCTGCACACCTCCTACTGGGGATGTGCCCACAACCAAGGTACATGCCCTTGACCGGAATCGAACTTGGTACCTTTCAGTCCGCAGGTTCTATCTACTGAGCCAAGTATGTGTTATTAATAGTTGTGCAGAACAAATAAACCAGCTGTGATAGAATCAGGACTATAATGTGGCTAATAATACCTTTTTATTTTTTATTTTTAGGGGGTAACTGTCACATATCTCCTGACACAAAAGAAAACATTTAATCGAGACTATTTACAAAGATGTAAACTTTAAAGAGAACCTTTTAAAAGCCTATTATGTAAAAACGTGTTTTATCAATCAAATGTAATTTCTACTATTTTTTCCCAAATTTATCATCTTCCCACCAACATTTACCTCTGGTCCTGGAAGGCCAGATGGTCCTTGGGGTCCTGGGTCACCTGCTTTGCCCTAAAATGGGGTAGGGAGGAAATGCAAGTATAAACATTAATTTAATGAATAAAATTTAAAGGGAAAAAGACACATGGTAAGCAGACAGCACTCAATATATTATGCCACACAAAGTTGTAATGACATTTCAGCATACAACACTAATATACTGTCAAACAAAGTTGTAACCACTATTCAGAAAGACTTAATTTGTAACCATGACTGTAGAGAATGTATTTAAATAACATGTGTTTGGATATGATATACATTTATTCTTTAGTGTTAGGCATACAAACAATGTAATGACTTAAGGGCTCAAATAAAGAAAAAAAGTGTGTGTGTGTACATGTTACCCAGAGATAAGACAGTAAATTTGGACTCAACAGTGTAGGGAAATGTAGATGAAGAATTGCTTTCATAAATAATCACAGCCCCAGAACTGTCTCTGAAAACTTCTCTCTCCTTTGACACTGGAAGAATCCTGGCTAACTAATTCAGAATCACATGGATTTAAATGCTTGTTGCTTAATTTCTCCAAGTCTCCATTTTCTCATCAATAAAACAGAATAATAATAACAACATTACTAACATTCTTACAGTCACTGTGAGGTTTAAACGAGATAATAAAGTGCTAAGCACAGTGCCTGGCACATAGAAAGCACTCATTAAATGTGAACCAGTTTTATAACTATTAAGCGTTCCCGTCACATCCTCTCCTCTCTCCTTTCCTGGATGAGGCACAGAATTTCTAGATTATTTTGATCCTTTAATTAAAAATTTGAGGATTTGGTTTCAATAGCTCTGAAGCCATTTCCCGGCATTCAGATATACAATGTGCAATCAGGGCTAGCGAGGAAGGTCAGAGGAAAGAGAAATGTGGATAAAGCCTGAAACCAGAGAGGGCTAGCAATGCTCTCAAGAGACAAAAGCATAGAACGGGAAAGGCCAGTAGACTGATACCCTTGTTTTCACAAACTATAGAATTCATTATTTTTGTCATATTAAATTTCTATGTGAGTTTAAATTGGACTTAAATGGGCCTCAGATTATATACAATTGCAATATACAATATGGGTTCATCCACGTGCCCAGAAGTAAAGCACAGTGTTCCATCGGTACTAAATCCACTCATATAGTGCTGGAGTATCTGGATATAAAACAGTACACTATACAACTACTGCAATCGAATATGGATAAACATGATAAAATATTTGGCAAAAGTTCAGTTAAGTTCTCCTAAATAAACGAAATCACAATCCATCATCATCAGTACCTAGGAGTCTTAAATTCTTGAAATGACAAGTACCTTTCTTAGAGATGGAGCTGAGTTCTCACTGGGGCCCTCTAGTGGCCACATCCAAACAAGAAGCTAAATATGTAAGCTTTGAGGAAAAAATAGCATTCTACCCTAGGTTTTTGTTTTCAGAAAAGTTGACTGGCAACCAGATATTTAAAAACATAAATAGTGAAATAATCTTATTTTTTATTCAAATACATTTTTCATTTAAAAAAAACCTTGAACTACAAGTTTCCTTGAATATCAATTCTCATTTATAAAAACTGAATTTTCAAGTATCTTTTAAAGAATTCAGTAATGATTAAGTAAACCTCTATAAATGACAACTTCTAGTTAAAAAATAGAAAGGATATAAGATATACTATAGTATAACTGTTTTCTCTGTTTCAAGGAAAGAAAATTTCTTAACACCCTCCGAGTGTTAGTTTTCTCTAGTTTTTAAGCATTTCCAGAGCAAAGGCGCTCCTATTCCAGGATGCAAAAAACCTTCCAAAACAGGACTTTTTTTTAAATCTTGAAAATATTCTTTCATGTTACAATTTAGATCAGGGGTAGGCAAACTTTTTGACTCGAGGGCCACAATGGGTTCTTAAACTGGACCGGAGGGCCAGAACAAAAGCATGGATGGAGCGTTTGTGTGAACTAATATAAATTCAAAGTAAACATCATTACATAAAAGGGTACGGTCTTTTTTTTTTTTTAGTTTTATTCATTTCAAATGGGCCGGATCCGGCCTGCGGGCCGTAGTTTGCCCACGGCTGATTTAGATCCATTTGGAAACAATATCAGTAACAGCAAAATCTTAGGTAACATAAAATAAAAAGCAAGAGATATAAAAGGCATTCTTTTTACAATAGTAAACACATGATTGAGTGTAGGCACTAACTTGTATAGTTTGTTACTAATATGATAGCTGATTCTGCGAAAGCAATTTTTCATTAAACAGGTACCTTTCCTTCCATAACTAGTGAAAGTTTCCAGGTCAAACCCCTATAATTTTTTTTTATATTGATAAGATACAAACAAGTGCTAAAGTGTGGGTCTAAAGACAAGGTCATTTTACAAATATTAATTCATAAATCTCTACCCTATCTTCAATCTGAAATGAATTTTTTCAAAGATTTGATAAAACAAAAGATGATCAATTATCACGTACCAAAGTAATCCCTGCTGACATTAAAATTTTTTTATTAGAATAGTACAGAAAGGTATAAAATGAGCAACTAAAGCCTTACCATCTTATACCCCCTGTCATCACTGCCCTAAAAGAATCAGGTTAGAGTTTCTAGTGACTTATTCCAGGAAAAAAATTTAAGGGTTTTAAGACAATGTGTTAAAGGTGAAACAGGCTCTCTGCCTTTTCTTTAGCTAGGCCTAGAGAAATATTAATAAGCAATATTGCTAAGATGGGAAAATATCAAAGAGTCACAGAGTTGCAAGGAACCTTAACTATGAGATAGTCTGACTCTCATTTCAGACGAGAAACTGGATACCACAGTGATTAAATGCAAGGTCAGAAAGGTCAGTATCAGGTCTGGGACTAAAATCTAAGTCTGTTTCTCAGATCAGTGATTCCCCTTTCCCATAAACATGTTATCAATATAAACTGAATCAAAGAGTAAGAAGACATTAAAAAGGTTTTTTATATACGCAAGATACTTAACTCTCATTTTCCCAAGTACCTAATTGTAAAGCATAAGGGAACTATATTGGTATCACTGATTACTTAGTATTTGCCTTAGAAACTGTGCTGTACCACTTCCTTTTATTATGATCAAAAGTTAGAAAGCCCTCACATTATACAAAATAAAAAATTATTTTGCCAGATTACATGATTTAGAAGTACCCTTGAGAAATGGAAGCTTTTTTTTTTTTTTTTTTTTTTTTTTTTTGATGTTCTCATGCCTCTTATTTATGTATGTCGGAGTTTTAAGATTCAACTCTGGGGCACAAGCTGGGTACATGGCTGACTGGGTTTATCCTGAGTGTTCAGGGTAATGAACTAGTAAAAGCAAAGCTCACCACTGACATTTCATTTGACAAATAGATACCAAATATTGTTCTTTGGATTAAATAATACCTGAGAAGTGTATATGAAATGCTGCCACTGACATGTTATAAAGAATGTGGTATATAGCCCTGGCGGGTTTGGCTCAGTGGATAGAGCGTCAGCCTGCGGACTGAAGGGTCCCAAGTTCTATTCTGGTCAAGGGCATGTACCTTGGTTGCGGGCACATCCCCAGTAGTGGGTATGCAGAAGGCAGCTGATAGATGTTTCTCTCTCATTGATGTTTCTAACTCTCTATCCCTCTCCCTTCCTTTCTGTAAAAAATCAATAAAATATATATTTTTAAAAAGAATGTGGTATATAAAGCTCTGTAACTTAATGCTGCTTCTTTTGATGCAAAAATAATACTGTGAGGGGAAGGTGGAGTTAGGGGGAACATGATGAATTACTCAGGAAAACAACACTCTTTTTTGGATGTATATTATAATGTTGTATCAATAAATTATAATGTTATATCTATTTTTTCTATCTACAATCACCTTCACCTTCATAGAGTTGTAATCAATATTAAAATACTAAATTTCAATATGTTTAATCCTAAAGCAGTATGACAGCAGCTAAGAGCATGGGCTCTGACTTAAGTGATTAACTAGGTTTTCCACCTAACTGTGGGACCTTGAGCAAGTGAGTTAACTCTCTGTGCCTCTGTTTACCTAATCTATAAAACAGGAATAATAATAGTACCAACTTCACATAATTGTTGTAAGGATTAAATTAGAGGTACAGTTCTTAGAATAGTGCCTGGCACTTTGTAAACACCCAGTAAATGTTAGCTATGGTAATTTTTGTGATCTTAACCTGCAGGGATATACTTTTAACTCATGTTTTAATCATTTTATTTAAATAATTGTAATTATTCAGTAATTTTAGTTTTATCATTTGTTGGGTTTCATGTTAACTACAGTATAAGGTATCCTTTTTTCTCAACTAATTGATGCAGAAGGGTGTGGGGAAAAAGACAAGGAAATAGAATATTTGGACTCAAAAGAGAGTATGACATGTTATCTATTTTTCAGAATGTTTCTTAATGAAACAGATATTTGGAAAAATTAAAATATCATTTAAGGTACTTTATACTTTCTGGCTTAAAAGTCCATTGTTTAGTTTAATGATAAATCAATCAAAATCTTTAGGGCTCACAGAATTTTGGTTTTTCCCTGAGATAAGAGGGCCGGAGAGGGTGAGATCCAAAAGTCTATACATATGAACGGAAAATTTGATGGATTAGCTATATATGCTAAAACTGAAGAGAGAAAATTCCAGCCTGGTAGGCTTATATACACTTTTCATATTCTACTAACACCACCAAGTTTCACGACTCGTGCCATGGTGTGCATTCCCTTAATCAGAAAGAGCAAAACAAAGGTCAAACCTACTGAAGGTCCCGGCTTCCCTCTCACGCCTGGTGGTCCTGGAAAACCAGTGGTGCCCTGAAAGGAGAGAATAGTAGGGGGAAGAGAAAAGCTATTATACACAAAAGGCATATGTGCCTCTCCTGTTGTTGCTGCAAAATGACGTTTCAGTCAACAACAGATCACATATATTCACAGTGGTCCCATCCTATATAATAAAAGGCTAATATGCAAATTGACCGAACGGCAGAACGACCAGTTGCTATGACATGCACTGACCACCAGGGGGCATATGCTTCCTGGTGGTCAGTGCGCTCCCACAGGGGGAGCGCCGCTCAGCCAGGAGCCAGGCTCACGGTTGGCAAGCACAGCAGCGGTGGTGGGAGTCTCTCCTGCCTCCACAGCAGCGCTAAGAATGTCCGACTGCTGGCTTAGGCCTGTTCCCCTAAGCCAGCAGTCAGACATTCCCCAAGGGTTCCTGGACTGCGAGAGGGCACAGGCTGGGCTGAGGGACCCCCTCTCCCCAGAGTGCATGAAATTCGTGTACCAGGCCTCTAGTAAGTTTATAATGAAGCTGAAAAATTCCTATCTCCTAATGATGTCATAGCCATCATACCATTATAGCACAATGTATTACTCATATTTGTGGTGATGCTGGTTTAAACACACCTACTGTGCACCAGTCATATAAAAGTATAACACATACAATTATGTACAATACGTTATACTTGATAATGATAACAGATGACTACGTTACTGGTTTATGTATTTACTATACTAAACATTTTACCATTATTTTAGAGTAAACTCTTTCTACTTATAAAAAATAGGTTTGCTGTAAAACAGTATACATGTTACACCAGCAGCTGCATATATCTTGTTTACTGAATCTCTTGATTGCATTATTTCCTCTTCTGCTTGATTTAATCTCATGTTGTTTAATAAATTTAGTGTAGTCTAAGTACACAGTGTTTATAAAGTGCCCAGTAGTTTACAGTAATGTCCTAAACCTTCACAGTCACTCAGCACTCACTCACTGCCTCACCAGAGCAACTTCCAGTCCTGCAAGCTCCATCCATGGTAAGTGCCCTACACAGGTGTGCTCCATTTTTTATACTACATTTTTACTGTACCTTTTCTATGTTAGGTATGTTTGCATACACAAATTCTGATCACTGTGTTACACTGGCCTAGAGTTTTCAGAGAGTAACATGCTGTACAGGTTTGGAGCCTGGGAGCGCTAGGCTATCCTACCTAGGTTTGAAATCACCTAACGGGCATGTCTCAGAATGTATCCCTGTTGTTAAGCAGCACATGACTGTATTTATAAACTACTAAAAAGAATTCATGCAAGTATTCTAAAAATGAGCAAACGGTTGAAAACAAGATATGTGAAAACAGATTGATACCATATCCTAACAAAAAATACATGGTTCAAATAATGAACACTCTTTTCAAAGAGCTTGTACTTTTTCACAGGCTTAAAACTAATGGCAAAAACCAGTTACCTTGTCTCCAGGATAGCCTGGCTCTCCGGGCTCCCCTGCCACGCCTTGTTCCCCCTGGAGAGCACATTTCACAGAAGCAATTAAGCTTTGCAAACATGGCCATATTATAAGGAAGCAAATATTAATTACAAAAAAATAATTTCTCAATTTTCCTACTTCTGAGAAAATTTATATAATTGATAGTACAGATTAGAGCTCATATATTAAAATAAAATATTTTATAAGTTGTGTTGGCTCAAAAGAAAAAAAAAGATATGTGATAAGAAATTATCTCTATGATAATGTAAATATTTAAGTCACCTTATCACCTTTGATTCCAGGAACGCCCTTATTTCCTGAAAGACCCTAGAAAATGAAAGTGACATTTTGTGACATCATAGAGACATTAAAGGTAAATATCCATTAGGCAAATAGAACCATACCTTTGGGCCAGGAATTCCAGAAGGTCCAATTGGCCCCACTAGGCCAACACTGCCCTGAAAAGCAATAACAAAGAAAGGTATCATTAAATATCCACTAAGATTAGAAAGAGAATATGGTAAAATCAATTAATTCATTAACCGAGAACAGTTTATCTCACTAAGCACATGTGCACTCTTCTTCAACAACCTCTTGCTCTCTCCATATTTAAAAATTATATCCATCTTCCAAACTTTAGTAAAGTCCATCCTATTTCCTGAAGCATTCTCAGAGTGGTCTAACTCACAAGGATCCTTCTCTTCCTTGAGTTCCTATAATACTTAATGTCCATGACATTCGTCTTGAAATATTTTTTCCAACTAGATAATATCTTTATTCTTTTGGGCTTAGCTCATTCATTTATCATTTAACATTTGTGAGCATAATATGAATAAGATATAGTCATCAGTGTCAAGGTTCTTAGTTTAATGTTCCAATGCAAGATTCCCTAAAAACATAACTACCACTATCATCTCTTGCAAGCAAGAGTTAGAAAAATTTCTTCAACGTGGTATCTTAGAAGACAAAGGACAATAGCAACAATAAGGGTATTTGAAAACAAGAGTTGAAAAAATGGTGGACATCTGTTGACGGTTTGGGGAACAGATATAATTTTTGTGTCACTGTGCCTTCACTTTTGCCACCACTCTGTGCCTGCTACCATATCATCATCCATCCTGAAAGACGAAGTTGGTTTAACCTCTCTTTTATGATTTCAAAATGTTAACAAACTTTTAAAGGTGTATTTGTGACAATCCTGAAAATGTTGCCCCTTTAAGTTATAATCCAAATATCTTAGGATAGCATCCTGGACCCTTACTACTCTTTCTCACCGTCTCCCTTTCCACTCCCCCTCCCCGGCCTCTCATTTGTCCCTGTTGGGTTGTTGGGTTTCCTCCTGTTCTTTTCTCTCTGTCTTTTTCTATCTTTTATATTTTTTCCCCTGATTCCTTTTGCTTATTGTTCCATTGACTTTGCTTTTATTCATTCTTTCTGTTTGCCTCTCATGGTGTTTTTCTCTTTTTGTTTCTTATTATGGTTCTTAGCTCTGCTTCTCCCATGAGTGCCTGTGGCAATGGCCTGTGAACATGTGTTTCATGAGGCTTCTACCAATCCTTTCGGTGTCATCTCCTTCCATTTGTCCCTGCTTCCCCTTCACTTCTCTCTCCTCCAAATCCCACATTCTAGCCACAATGGACTCTTTCCCATTCTCTGAAATGCTCTCCCTTATCACATGTTCCAAGCCTTTGAAGATATGGTTATTTCTACTGGAATGCCCTTTTTCTACACTACTGAGTATATTGCACTGCACTTTTTTTTTTTCTTCCTAATCTGTGCACTCTGGGAGAGCAGAAGTGTGTTTTACTCACTTTTTTTTTTATTATCTCCAAGATCCAACATAATAGTATTGAAATAAAGCATAGACTGAAAACTGGAGGAAGTAATCAACTTTAAAAATAAAATTAAAAACAGTCATTTCTAGAACTCTATCTCCCAACATAATAGAGCATTTCTAATAGTCTACATTTACATAATACAAATTTCAGAATGAAAAATATGACATCTTTACTTTTGGGTAAGTCCTAAAATCTATAAAATATAACTAAGATAAATTATTTCCAACATGCTTAATCCTGAAATGTATGGAAATGTGAGAGGTAAAGAGTAATACTTTCCAATTTAATAAACAGATATGCAATATTAATACACCATTGACAAATTCTGTCAATAGGAAAAATTATTCTTATAACTACAGAGGCTAGTTTATTCAAAGTTCACAGATTTAAAACTTATGATAGTATTAAAAATTCAATAAACATCTCTGTTTAGACTTGTATAATTATGAAAAGAAATATCTTATAAACAAATAATTATTTGTCATCCTATTGTTTTTTTCTACAGACAATATAATATTCTTAACTTTTATTTCAGTAAATTTATTCCTTTGCATAGTCTGGCATCTTCAGATAAATGTAACGTTGTATGCATAACATCCTATTTAACTTTTTAATGACCCTAAAAAAATCACAAAATAATAGTAAGTTTTGGAAGATATCAAAAACATAAACATTATAATGGACTTAGTAAAATAGAAAATTAAAAATTAAAATGGTATGGGTATAGAAATTTCTAAGAAACATCAAATATTCTGTAGCATGTCACAAGTTCTGTGGAAAATCCTACTCCTAAAAAATTATAGTCTTCTGAATGATATCCATGATAAGTTAAGAGCAGTTTTCAGTTCCACAAGGATAAACTAAGGTCCTTCAGCACTCCCTCCCTCTCACCCTTCTCTTCCATGAGAAGATGAAGTAGAAAGACTAAATAATTCCATGCATGGGAGCTTAGCTAAGAGTGCCTGGGGTATAGCAACAGAAGTAGAAGTGCCTCCCACACAGTGATAAATGAATAAGGAACTTTTCAGTCAAACTAAGTAAAAAAATAAATAGAGAGACCTAAGGATAGGTTCCTTATATGAAAACAGCAGCCACTGACCAATTAGAGCTCAGATAAGTGAGCACATTGTAGGAAAGACTATAAGTTCCACATTGGGCTTTTCTACCATACCCACCAACACTCACAGGAGAAAATCACTGTCATTAACTAAGAAAAGAAATGACAATAACAATCACCTATATGGAAAAAATAATTTAGAAAAATCAATATCATCACTTGTCAGAAACTATACTTGCCGGAAGGGAACACCTGAGAGATAAAGCAGAGGCTGCTGTTCTGGGCAAGCAGTTAAACTATTTACTATGAAATACAAAAGTTCTGCATTTTTCCTTTCAAAATGTCACTTCCCTCCATTCTGCTCACATCCCTCCACACTTCCTAGGCTACAATCCTGTTACTCCACCTTTCATCTCCCAAACACTCCATTCCTCCCCTCTCTGTCATTTGAACAGCATTCTTCTTTCCAAGAGCCCTTTTCTACTCGGCCCCACTCGTGCACAATCTTTGAGACACAGCTTAAATGGTTGCCTCCTTTGTGAAGTCAACTCTGAATCTCTGAGATAACACAGACTGCTCCTTTCTCAGTGGCTTTATTTCAGTCCATAACAGCAGTAACCACATTGTATGATATTGCTCATTTTTATTTCTATGCCATTAGATTGTAATTGTTGCCAAAACCAGGAATATTAATTTGTTCATATTTAGGCCTAGCATCTAGTTCAGCATTTGACACGTAGTAGGTGCTCATATTGTTTTGATTTTAAAATGTAATAAACATAAAAAAGATGGAGTAATACCTGCTCTATCTAGTTTATAGATATGTATGAGAAAGTACTTTGCAAAGTGCACAACACCATCTATATCAGTGTAGAAGAGATGAGGATTATAAAGGTGACTAGAGGCCCCATGCACAAAATTCGTGCAAGGAGCTTGGCCCTCACAGCCCCACCTGCCTCGGCTGGCCCTCACAGCCCTGGCTTCATCCAGAAGGTCATTCGGACAGTTGTTCTGCTATTCAGTCTAATTAGCATATTAGCTCTTTATTATATAGGATTGTTAGTGTCATTAGCAATTTTAATTTCTGTAGAAGCTCTCCAATTTACCAAAGGGTGGGTGGAGAAAGAGAAAGAACAGAAAATGCAGTTATTTTTACTGAGCACTATTATGTGTCAAGCACTGTGCTCCATACTGGACCTGAAAAAAAAAATGAATGAGTTAACTATTAAGCAGAAAAGTAGAGGTAGAGGGTTTCAGGTAGACAAACTAGGTAAAGGCCCTCTAGTGGGCAGGCTGCATGACAATTGAGAATGAACAGCTTTGTTAGTGCGGAGACTGTTCTCAAAGATACAGACAAGACACAAAGTCTAGACATGTTAGGCCACGCTAAGAATTTTGGTCTTAATCTTAAGAGTAATAACGGCAGCTTTTGAGCTAACCAACATAATGCAAACGGGTTAAATGAAGGCATGACCTCCCTTCCCCTGCTCCTTTTCTCTCCCATTGATAAGGCCACTGACTACCACCTACAGGTTTAACATGATTCTAAGTTCGGAGAAAGAAAGAAAAAAAAGGTCCTTTGAGCTCCACCTTTACATAGAGCAGTGGTTCTGAACCTTCTGGCCCTTTAAATACAGTTCCTCATGTTGTGACCCAACCATAACATTATTTTCGTTGCTACTTCATAACTGTAATGTTGCTACTGTTATGAATCGTAATGTAAATATCTGATATGCAGGATGGTCTTAGGCGACCCCTGTGAAAGGGTCGTTCGACCGCCCACAGGTTGAGAACCGCTGACATAGAGCTTCTCATGAAGCCCAATAAAATCGTGTGTGACAGATAGTATACATTTTAAGGTAATACAAGTTTTGAGAAGGTGGTGCAGCACCAGGGGTAAATTTTGGACTCTAGGTGTAGATCACATGGCTTCAAATCCAGGCTCAACACTTATAAGCTAAGTGGTCTTAGGTTGTTCTAAGAATTAAATGATATAACACATTTTTCATAGGATTACACAGAAAATACTAAATAAAAGTGAGCTGCTATTGCTATTTTTATTATCTGTACTATATTAGTATCATAAAAGAGAACCGTTTAAATGTCTTAGACTTTCTCAGGTTCTTTGACTCTCAGTTCTATACTCTCACCATCCAAAACGGCAAGTTCAAACTTGTTATGTTGATTGTTACCATAGTTCCAATAACTGAACTCCTGATATTCCTTTGGCCAAGTTTTTACCTTCTGCCTTGGAGTAGTTAAGGTGGGAAAATAACCCCTTAAATTGGAGTCATAAGACCAGTGTTCAAGTTCAAGCTAAAAATATTATAGATATAATTATGGCATAGAATTTCAGTGTCTTAATTATCTACTTCATATGTTAGAGTAAGTCCTAAATTGATTTTTAAGGAAAATCTTATCTCTGCCCATGGTCATGGCCTATGTTTATGTGGATATAAATAGTTTACTTATAAGATTTTATTTTTATTAGGCTCCTTATTTTCATAAAGTATGTTAATTTTTGCTTTTAGCTCAATTGAATGTTAAAGCATATAGTTCTAAATACCAGTATATATACATATACATATACATATACATATACATATACATATACATATACATGTAGATATATACATATGTAATATCTGCAATTCATATCACTGTCATTAACCATTTGCTTGGCTGGGAGAAATATATTTATGAAGCTATATCAGAGGTAGTTGTCTATTTACTCTAATGAATAATCTAAAATTATCAGAAAGCTACATATCTGGACTACATTGCTTTGACCTCTGCAGAACAGCTTATACTAAACTGTGCTTCGCCTTCATCAGACACTCCCGTGAAACTCAGAGTTAAAGTCACTGTATAAAATTTGATTAAGTGGACAAACAATATATCACTTATACTTTTAGTATAATAAATAAATTTGATATTAAAATGTTTAATGGCATTGGTGAAGTCTGGCTCCTACCTTTTGTTCAGGATAGTTTTCCTAAGCATTTATTCAATTTTATTCCATAAATAAAGTCTACAGTTACCCATGTTTTTTTGCTCAGAACTGTATGCATCTATCCAGACTAGATGATCAGAAAAACTATCTCAAAGGAAAGAAATGACTGTTCTGTCTTATACTTTTAAAGAGACAGGTTCTAGATTAAGTAACATTTAATGACAGGAATAAATACATATGTACACATATATCTGTAGAAATTTATTTCAGCTTATCATGAAGTATAATTAATATTTTTATTCATACTATTGGTCTAATTTCCATTAGAAAATTACATGTGAACAAGGTAGATAACAAACATAAATACACAAGAAAATATTTTATAAGAAGGATGATATTTGATACTCACTCTAAGCCCAGGAAATCCAGGAGGACCAATGCTACCTACAAGTCCCTAAGTAAAAGAAATGTGCATAACTGGTTAAATATGATTCTAAAATACTAAGCATATTTTCTAAAGATGAAGACAAAAATTTCTTGGAAAAAAGATACCAGTTTTTAACTTCTGCAGCTAACTTCGAAAACTTCCCTACTCTTATGCATCCTCCTAAAGAAGTACAAATCTCTGGTGGCAGTTTATTTTCTTCAAAAGTGCTCCGGGCTCCATGCCTTTGGCTGGTAGGACTACCCAGCCTAGGATATAGATTTCTCTCTGTCTCCCATGTATCTAATAACGGAAATAAATTCCATTAGTAATCAGCATTATAGATATAACTAACCCATATATTGGTCAGTATATAGTGTTAGAAGAACCTTTTCAGATGATTTAAAACACTATCAACTCTGTGGGGTGGGGGGAAATGGAGGATAATGACAAATATGTAATATCTTAATCAATAAAGAAAAAAATTAAATTAAAAAAGAAAAAACACTATCAACTCTTTGAAGTACATTATTTAAATTTTCTAGAGATGAGTTTTCTCATTATATAACAGGAATATTTGTTCTCATTGTTGTAAAGATCACAATTAAAATTGTCGTATATATAGAAGATTTTAAAAATTTTCATAAAGCATTATACAAATGTAAGAAATTACCAACATTGTTAAATTATTTAAATGAGATTTTAAAACAGTAGGCTTCCAGTTGATTTGTGATGGGTCTTTGTGATGGTCTTTTGAATTCACATTTTAGTCTTTATGATAATTTTTTATCCACTCCATGTCAGTGGTACATTATTTACATGGTTACAAGGCTCAAGAAGAGTCCTTCATTTTTTTGCATTTCAAATTTTTTTTAACCTACAAATTGATTTTTTTTTGGTTTTTGGTTTTCTGATTATTTTTTAAATTTATCTTTATTGTTGAAGGGTGGGCTGGAGGGCTCAATGGGGAAAATGGGACATCTGTTTTACTTTCAGATTGTTTTTAAACAACAGCATAGTATAAACTATGGAGAATTATAAACTAATACACTGAAAATATCCAGTTTATCCTTGCATTTTAAAGATCTTTAAAGACTCAAATGTTCCTCAAGAAGTATTATATTTTAAACAAAGAACAGATTTCAAAAAGGAAAGTTTTAAATATTGTAGGAGTCCAACCCTAACAAACTTTATGTACATTTTACTGACAAAATATTAAATAAGATTTATACTAGTGTACTTGCACACTAGTTATGCAAGTACAGTCGTGTGCCTCACAATGGCGTTCCAGTAACAACGAACAGCACATATGTCAGTGGTACACCACATAGCCTCGGTGTGTGGTAGGCTGTACCATTTAGGTTTGTGTAAGTGCCATCTACGATGTTCACACAATGACGAAATCACCTAATGATGATATATCAAAACACATCCCTGTCATTAGGTGGTGCATGATTGAACATAAATGATATTAAAGAAAAAAGTAAATAATGCTTACTTTATTAGCTTGAAATGGAAAGCTCCCCAGAATTATGGGCAAGAGAAAGATAGTAAACACTCTATTTAAGACACCATTATAACAAATAAAACTTTGACTAAATTCACTAAATAAGCTAATATAGCTATACTTTATAAAAAGAAATAAAAAAGAAACTATTTTCAAATACTTTATTTTAAGCATAAATGCTAGTAATTTACCTATGTCTAAATATAAGAACTATGCCTAATTTAGGCTTTAAGGTTTTTGTGGTTGATTCTAATTTCATTTTAAACGTTTATGAAAAAAAAATGTGTGAATGGCATAAATTGGGAGATAGTTATTGGATGCTTTTTGAGGGCAAAAAAGTGAAGGTAATTCTACCTAGTGTCAAAAAAGTACCAATCCATCATCATTCTTTGATAACACATTTTAGAATGGTGATTCCCTAATCTGAGTTTCCGAGAAGACTTCTCTATGAAATACTCAAAAGGTTAATCAATGACACATTTGAGTGTAAAAGAGCAATCACTAAAAACACAAATTTTACCTGCAGCTTGCTTGTAGCTTCGTGTACTAACAAGGCTCCTTTCTCCCACACATATGCAAGTCAATATTGTGATCATATATTTCAAATATTTTACTTGAGCAGTGACATTTAACATGGTCAAACTAATTTCAATGATTGTCTCTCAGGATACAGTTTATTCATTAAACATTTTTTGCTTATTTCCCTATGTTGTAAAATTACAGATTGGAATGTGCACAGCGGTATCGAAACTGTCTGACCGACAGAGCTTATTCATGAATGTGGTGATGAGGAGGGAAAGCACAGTTGCTGTGCAGCCTGAGTGCTGATAGGTTGCAAAGCTAGGCCATCACAATTTACTCACAGGACTACCATCAGGACCAGCGGGGCCTCTCTCTCCGAAGTCACCTGGAAAACCCTGGCCCAGGGAAAGAGAAAGAAATGTTGTTAAATCCAAAATAGATAAAGATTTCAATTTAACTTTCTGATAAGGAGTTTACCTACAGATATTTAGTTTCTAATCCTTATGGAAGTGCAACAAAAATGTGTATTTGTTTTGCATAACACTTCATTGGTTTGGTGAAGTACCATATTCCTATATTCTATAAAAGTTATTTTACATGCCCCATAATATGTTAAGGGCCTTATACACATTATTGGATATACATTACTTCACTTCATCTTCACAACAGGTCGAATCAATGAGTACTAATATTTTCACTTTCCAGTTGAGGAAATTAAAGCACAAGAGGTGACGTCACCTGCAGCCTCGACTGAGAACTGGGTGGAGTCAGTCTGAGGGCAGAGCCGGCTCTCTTTCTGCTCTACCACACTGACTCCTTTAACTCCCCAACACAAGATGAGATGCAACATGTAAAAAGCCAATAAAGTGCAATTTCATTGGGGGAAGGCATACTGCACATAAATACCGCAAAGACAAAATGTGGTGCCACTGACAATTAAGCTTCCCAGATGCCCACTGAGAATCTACATCGTGAAACTATAAAGACTAAAAGTCTACTCATTACAAATTCTACTATGACATAACTCGGTTACTCTAATTTTATTTTACTACAGTTTTTCTCTAAGGATTTACCACTGGATTTAAAAGGCTACTTTACAAAATGATTTATAAGACTTAATATAAACACTTTAATAATTTTTATTTTTTAAAAACATATGAGACTATCAAAAAATAAACTACATTTTAGATTCTTATAATCTCTTTATTTAGGCAACCCAGTATTAATTATTATATGTTTAACAGACTAGCAAAAGTCCCTGGCTCACTAGTACAAACATGAATGGGCTAAGTTTAAAAGATGGATTAACCCAGCTGGCGTGGCTCAGTGGTTGAGCATCAACCTGTGAATCAGGAGGTCACGGTTTGATTCCCGGTTAGGACATATGCCTGGGTTGTGGGCTTATTCCCCAGTGTGGGGCGTGCAGGAGGCAGCCAATCAATGATTCTCTCTCATCATTGATGTTTCTATCTCTCTCTCCCTCTCCCTTCCTCTCTGAAATCAATAAAAAAAATCAATAAAAAAAATAAAAAGATGGTTTAACAATGGAAACTGTATGCTATTTCTAAGACATAGTTAACTAGAAGCAGTTTTTCTTATTCTGTAACCAGAGGGTAATGCAAAAACCATCTGTGTATTCAAACATATTGTAGCCATACTCTCTTCAAAGTCAGTTGAAGTTCAGAAAGGCATTTTGTTTTCATTGTCCTTGGAAATCAAATTCTGTTGTCAACAAGCTCACAAATCGGCAATACATCATTCTATTCAGTATGAGCTAATATGGGTATTTGAAAGTATTTATGATGCACAGGTAATGGAAAAAGTAGAGGAAAAATACTGCAATAAAATCTGAAAAGAAAGAGATGACTGACTTTTTAGATAGATCCTAAGTAGGTTTTCCAGAAACCTCAGTGAAATAATAAAGAAGGAGGACATATTACATAATTTCATTAATGTGAAATGTCCAGAATAGGCAAATCCATAGAGATAGAATGCAGATTACTGGTTATCTAGGGCTGGTGGTGTGGGGGAGAATTGGGGACTGAGTGCTAATAGATCAGTGCAGGGATTCTTTCTGAGGTGATGGAAATGTTCTAAAATTAATGTGATGGCTGCACAACTCTCTGGATCTACTAATAACCACTGAATTGGGCACTTTAAGGGGTGAATTTTATGATATGTGGATTCTATCTCAGGAAACGTCTTCTTAAGAAATGAAGAAACAATCAGTCTAAACAAGTAGTCAGATTGCTAAAAACATCTTTGGGGACTCGCTCAGGACTGCCTAGACTAGGATGTATCGCTATCTGGGACTGATTAGCCCCCATCCTCATCTAGAGAGAAGAGCTGGTCTCCAGTTCATCTTTGCACAAAACTCTGATTTCTCCCTCACCCCACCCCCAGCCCCCAAGAGAGGGAGAAGGGAGAGGGGACAGAACTGTGATTAGTTATCCACTTACCATAAAATCTTTACTTTCTACAACCAGCATAAAAACAATTATATATTAATTTCAACTTCTTGTTCTTCTGGTAGTTCAAGCCTAAGCAACTGGTCGACCGCTTGCTATAACGTGCACTGACCACCCGGGGGTAAACGCTCAATGCAGGAGCTGCCCTCCCTGGTGGTCAGTGTACTCCCACAGCTAACCTCCTGCACCCAGCCAACTTCCCGCAGCTCCCTGGCCAGCCAGCCCGTCCCTCCCCCCCGATTGGCCCTGATTGCCCACCAGGCCGAGGGACCTCACCCGTGCATGAATTCGTGCACCAGGCCTCCAGTCTTTATAATAAATACATAGTTCAACTTGACTTTGCCCCTGAAACAATTTAGTTGAACTGAATAATACCTACTTTTCAAAGTTTTATGTATTATTTCTCCTCTCACTTTATTACCCATTAAACATTTCATTTTTATTTTATTTTTTTAAAAATATTTTTTATTGATTTTTTACAGAGAGGAAGGGAGAAGGATAGAGAGTTAGAAACATCAATGAGAGAGAAACATCGATCAGCTGCCTCCTGCACACTCCCTACTGGGTATGTGCCCGCAACCAAGGTACATGCCCTTGACTGGAATCGAACCTGGGACCCTTGAGTACGCAGGCCGACGCTCTATCCACTGAGCCAAACTGGTTAGGGCTAAACATTTCATTTTTAATTTCCTATTCCAGATAGAGATCATTTGTTTTATTATTTTTATCTTCCTTACATGTTGACCTTAAAGATTGGTTGTGAACTATGGAACAATAATGAGAAAAACACTTTGTCTTTGAACTTAGAACACAAAGAACAATTATTTCTACAATTGTGTCATCAATTTTTAAAATAATTTCTACTAAACCTAGACATATTTTCTTGCTTTATGAAACATAGTACAGTTAATGTCACAAAAATCATATTTAGGTATATATTGAACATATATTTTCTTTTGAAGAATATCAAGCCAATGTTTTATACTATTGAAAATGTTATTGCTTATTCACTGTTTATTCAGTTGTTATTTCAATTCTGGTAACTACATGCATGGTATTTTGTTTTCTAATGCAGGGGAGGTTCTATATTCCTTTAATAATAAAACTTAATGTTTGCAGCCATATATTTCCAAAAAATGATCTTAAAGATTGGTTGTGAAATATGGAATAAGGACAAAACACTTTGTCTTTGAACTTAGAACACAAAGGACAATTTATACAATTTCTTTCTCCACTTGAAAGAATGTGTTACAAAATAAAACAGTAAGTTTCCTCTCATATTTATCTACTGGAAAACTATAGCCATAACTAAAATCAAACTGTGCTCTCCTAGAAATATCCTCACACTACCAAGATGTAATGGTCATTTTCAGGATTATCCATAGGAAAGTTCGAGTTTTTACCTTTCTTGCCCAATTTGCCAATTTCACAAAGGTAATATCTTCTAATGGACATGCCAGAGTTGCATTATTGCTTCTGTGCTATTCATAATCCTATTTATACATTCTCATTGTTTGGATCAATTAGAAAATGTTATTTTATAAAGAATACTGGGGTCCCTCAGCCTGGCCTGTGGGGATTGGGCCAAAACTGGCTCTCTGACATCTTCCGAGGGGTCCTGGATTGCAAGAGGGTGGTTCTCGGGTGATGCACCCTGGAATCAGACTCCCTCCTCTCTGGTTCCAGTTGCGTCACCCGAGAACCACAGATGCCAAGTCACTGCAGCTCAGCAGCTCTTGCATTGAGCATCTGGTCCCCTGGTGGTCATTGCGCATCATAGTTACTGGTTGGAAGGCCAGATGGTTGCTTATGCTTTTATATATATACTAGAGGCCTGTTGCACGAAAAGATTTGTGCAATAGGCCTCCCTCCCCCTGGCTGCCGGCACCGGTTTTCCTCCAGCACCCGGGACCCAGGTCTTCGTTCCAGCCGGAGCTGCCTTCAGTCTTCGCTCTGCCGCTTTGCACCTATGTATGCAAATTAACCGCCATCTTTGTTGGCAGTTAATTTGCATATCTTGCTGATTAGCCAATGGGAGGCATAGCGAAGGTACAGTCAATTACCATGTTTGTCTATTATTAGATAGGATATGACATTTCAGGGGTTTCATTTGCTCTCTTAAAGTTGTGAATAATTCTCTCACTCATTTCCACTGTTTGATCAGTACAGTGGACAGACTTTAAGGTGACCCCCTAATGATTTCCACTCCCTGGTGTTCACACTTTTGTATGATACCCTTCCCTTAAGTGTGGGTGAGACTGTGACTTGCTTCTCCTAACAAATATAGCAAAATACAGCAAAGGTGATATAGGAAGTAACTGATGTGATTGTGTCATAACATCTAAGACTACATCTTAGCAGCCTGGAGCTAGTGACTTCCATTGTGAGCCTGATAAAATAAGTACCCACATGGCAGGGAACTATGGGTGACCTCTAGGCATTGTGGACAGTCCAAAGGAACTGAAGTTGTCTTACAGCCAAGAGCCAGCAAAAAGCCAGGACACTCAGTTCTACAACCTTTCTATGACCTTCAGCAAAAGATTTCTTCTCACAACATGAATGCGCTTGGGAGTGAATTATTCCCCAGTCAAGCCTCCTGATGATAATGCAGCCAGTTGATACTTTGAGTGGAGGCTTATGACCCTGAGCAGAAAGACCAGTTAAGTAGTACCTGGACTGCTGACCCATGAAATCTGGGAGATAATAAATGCATGTTGTTTTAAGCCACTGATGTTGTGGTATTTTTATGCAGCAATAGATAGAAAACTAATATAATCAGTAACTAAATCATTAAATAGAGAAATTCTAAAGTCCTACAAGCAACTTTTACTATGAGGTGATGCTTAATATAAGAACCACTGACATTAGTTCTAGATTTGTAAAATTTAAGTGAATCACCTCTGAATACTTTTGCTGCTTTTTATTTT